CTCGGGTTGGAACTCTGAAAGAACTTAGAGCTCAGAGCTCACAGACGTCAGAGACACTGATGACAGTCACATAATTTTAGACAACATGGGAGCTCTGTACGTACCATTTACTTGTTGAGAATTTACTACACTGTATTGCAGAGATGGCTCAGCAGGTTAAGAGCACTCACTACTCTCCCAAGAAACTGGATTTCATGCCTAGAACCCAAATCAAATGTCTCACAACTGCATGTAAATACAGCTCCAGGTGAATCAGACATCTCTGTCCTCTACAGGGACCTGCAGTCACCTTCAAATACCCAAACAAACACAAGGCACACACATGATTCAACAGAATGTTTAAGAATAAATTACCTAGCATTCTTTGTTTACTAACGTCCCCATGATAGACGTGTCCTGTGTGTACTAGTGTACTCAAAAGAATGGGAAATTAAACTCTCTCACAAGGACTTGCTTTTCCGTACAGAAGCTCAGGCCATCCTGTGTCTAACTCACTGCCTGGGCCTGTGGTCCTCAGTGCTGGGAACAGCCTCTTCTAACATGATGCAGGTCCTGGACCAACTCACATCTCTGTCTTCTACAGGGACCTGCAGTCACCTTCAAATACCCAAACAAACACAAGGCATACACATGATTCAACAGAATGTTTAAGAATAAATTACCTAGCATTCTTTGTTTACTAATGTCCCCATGATAGATGTGTCCTGTGTGTACTAGTGTACTCAGAAGAATGGGAAATTAAACTCTCTCACAAGGACTTACTTTTCTGTACAGAAGCTCAGGCCATCCTGTGTCTCCCTCACTGCCTGGGCCTGTGGTCCTCAGTGCTGGGAACAGCCTCTTCTAACATGATGCAGGTCCTGGACCAACTCAGATGTTCTTTGTAAGATCCCTATGAAGCGAAACTTGAAATTTTACTGAATTTTATTTATTTATTTCTGAAGTAAGGCTGTCTTTGGAGGCATATAAGGACAAAACCCACATAAATTGTCTCAATTGAAGCTGAAAACCCTTTCGACAAAGTTCAACTTGCCTTCATAGTAGAAGTCCTGGAGACAGACCGTATCTTAAAATAATAAAGGCTCCATACAGGAAACCTAGAGCCAACATTATATGTGATGGAGACAAAGTGAGGGCGTTTCCTCTACAATCAGGAGTGAGGCAGGGATGCCGATCCTCTGCTCTCATATGAGATAAAGTGTGTGAAGGACAAGAGACAGCACCAGAGGATAGAACTAGGAGAGGGAGAAGCCGAAGTAGTCCTACGTGTGATGCCATAATTCTAAAACATGTTTCATTATTATTATTCTTTTTATTTTATGTGTGAGTGTATTGCTTGCATGTATGGGAGTGCACCCGGGTCATGCAATGCCACGGTCAGTAGAGGGCTTCAGAGTCCCCTGGAACTGGAGTTAGGGATGGTTCGTAGCCACCATGTGGGTGCTGGGAATAGAACTCGGGTTCTCTGCAAGAGCAGCCAGTGCTCTTAACCGCTCTCCAGCCCCAGTAATTCTATTTTTAAAATACCCAGTCTACTGGAAAACTATGAACATTTTCAGTTAAGTTTCATGATACACAACCAGAATAAAAAGACCAGAATCCTTCCTATATGGGAACAATGAACTCATAGGTCAGTAAATCAGGAAAAATCTCATTCAAAGAACTCCAAATATGAATTATCTAGGAATACATGTTACTGAAAAAAGGGAAAGTCTCTCAAATGAAAAAAATCCAGAGACGTCTGCCTCCTCCTGTCCGTCTCTTTCGGGCTCTTTCTCCCCCTCTCCCTTCTTGTTTCCATTTTCTCTGGCCTTTGTGGTTCCGTCCGGATAACTCACATGTAAGGATTTGATCCACAAATGCGAAAGCACATCTGTTGCTTGTTTTTCTGAGTCTGTGTGACTTCACTTAGCACAGCACCTTTGAGCTCCATCCATTTCCCTGGAAATTTCACTATTTTCTCTTTCTTTACCACCGAGTAGAACTGCATTGTGTAAGTGCACCTCATTTTCATTATCCGTTCACCTGCTGAGGGACATTTAGTTCGTTTCCATTTCTCAGCTATTGTGAAAAGAATAGCAACAAATTCGGGTGTACGTGTATCTCTGCAGTAGAATGAGATCTTTGTGAACATGCCAAGCAGTGGTATAAGCAGATCACACAGACCAACGCATCCCTCCACTGTCACCAGTGAAACTTCCTCATGCTACCGAGGGTGATGAGTCAAGACGGCCACAACTGGCCAAAGTGTAGAGAAAAAGAGACTGCAGAGTGCTTGTCCCTGGATAGGACTCATATTAAACCTCACCCACCCAGGGCTCAAGGACCTCTGCAGAAGAGGGGGCAAAAAAGATTGTTTGAGCCAGGGTGGTGCATGAGTAACCAACGCAAACTCAGTAGGACAAAAGCCAGCACAGAGCTGGGGAAACGGGCAGAGTCTTTCATGTCTTTGGTAAGGTTTATTCGCAGATTTTTTTGAGACTACTGTGAACTGACGGGTTTCCATGAACTCTTTGCCCAGTTGCTTGTTATTGGTGTACAGGAAGGCTACCGATTTTTTAGAATTGATTTTGTAACTTGCCACAGTGTTGATCATTTCAAGACATTTTCCGGTGGATTTTTTGATATCACTCTTGTATAACATTATATAGTCTAAAAACAGGGATATTTTGACCTCTTATTTTCCAAGTAGTAACCCTTCAATTTCCTTTTCTCTCCTTACTGTTCTAGCAAGAGTTTCAAGCACTGTATTGAAGAGGAGTGGAGACAGTTGACAGCCTTGTCTGGTTCCTGATTTTAATGGGAATGCTTCCAGTTTTTGTTCATTTATACTTATTTTGACTATAGTTTTTTTTTTGTATATAGTTTTAATTATACTGAGGTATGTACCTTCTGGTCCAATTCCCTCTAGGATTTTTACCTAAATGTATGTTGGATGTTGTCAAAAGTCCTTTCTGCATCTATTGAGATGGCCATATAAGTCAATTTATTGTAATTGACTTACATATTAATTGACCTATGTATATTGAACCATCCATGCATGTCTGAAATAAAGCTGATCATGGTGGATGATCTTTTTGTAAATTTTTTGAGTTTTTGTGAATTTCATATGACATGTTAATCAAATTTAGACCTCCTCCCCCTTATGCATCACCCCTTCCCACCTGATTTCATGCATTCTGTCGTATATATTAAGGCCTATTTGGTCAAGCATTTGTACACAGGTGTCCCCTTGTGCAAGGTCACCCACTACAATGTGTGTCCATATGTCGTTTGTGAATATTTTGTTGAGAATTTTCACATCTGTGTTCATTAAGGATCTGGGCCTGTAGTTTTCTTTTTTGTTGTGACTTTACCTGATTTTGGTGTTAGAGTGATACTGGCTTCATAGAAGGAGTTTGGGAGTTCTCCCTGTTTCTGTTCTTTTGAGTAATTTAAGAAGAACTGGCTGTGTATCTTCTGGGAGTGTTTGGTAGAATTCTGCTGTGAATCTCTCTGGGCCTAGGCCTTTTGTAGTTGGGAGGTTTTGTGTTACTGTTTCAGTTTGTTATGGGTCTGTTTGAACTGTTGATCTTTTCTTAATTTAGTTTTGGTGATTTCTAGGAATTTAGTAATTCATTCTTTTCTTTTAGATTTTCAAGTTTAATAGAGAATAGTTTTTTAAATTATCCCTGTATAATGTTCTGGAAGGAATTTAGTAATTCATTCTTTTCTTTTAGATTTTCAAGTTTAATAGAGAAAAGTTTTTTAAATTATCCCCGTATAATGTTCTGGATCTGTGTGTGTGTGTGTGTATGTGTGTGTGTGTGTGTGTGTGTGTGTGTGTCTGTGTGTGTCTGTGTGTGTGTGTGTGTGTGTGTCTCTGTGTGTCTCTGTGTGTCTCTGTGTGTGCCTGCTGTGTGTGTGTGTGTGTGTGTCTCTGTGTGTGTGTGTCTCTGTGTGTCTCTGTGTGTCTCTGTGTGTGCCTGCCTGCCTGTTGTGATGTTTCCCCTTTCATTTCTGATTCTGTTCATTTGGATTTGCTCTTTCTTTCTTTTGGTTAACTGGTCTAAGGGTCTTTCCATCTCATTTACCTTTTCCAAGAACCAGTTCTTAGATTCATTAATTTTTTGTGTTGTTTTCTTTGTTTCTATTTCATTAGTTTCTGCTTTGATTTTTGTTATTTCTTCTCACAGGCTGGGTTTGGCTCTGGTTTGTTCTTGCCTTCCCTGAGTCTTGAGTTGTACTGTTAAATCATCTATTTGTATTCTTTTTGACTTTTTAATGTAGGCACTTAGAGCTACATACTTCTCTCCTAGGACTGCTTTCAAAGTGTACCAGGGGATTTGCTGTGTTGTATTATTATTTCCATTTAGTTCCAGGAATACCTTTATTTATTAATTTCTTCTTTGACCCATTCAGAACTAAGCAGGTTGTTTAATCTCCATGAGGTTTTTGTTACTAGAGCTTTTTTTAAGCTGGTGATTTTGAGCTTTATTGTGTTGTCTGATAGAATGCATGGAATTATTTCAATATTTTTTGTATTTGTTGAGGTTTTTTTGTGCCCCAGTATGTGATCAGTTTTAGAGAACCTTGTGTGGGGTGCTGAATAGAAAGTGTATTCTTTGGTGCTTGGGTGGAATATTTGGTAGGTACCTGTTAGGTACATTTGATGTATGATGTCATTTAATTCAGACGTCTCTCTGTTTATTCTTTGTCTGGTTGACCTATCTGTTGGAGATAGTGGGGTTTGAAGTCAGCAACTATTACCAACTTGGTGTTAATCTGTGTTTTATTGTCCTGTAGTACTGTTTTTCTGAAGCTGGGTGCACCAGAGTTTGGTGCATATACATTCATGACTGTAGTATCTTCTTGGTCAATTGTTCCTTTGATCAGAACGAAGTGACCCTCTTTATCTTTTCTCATTAGTTTTAATTTGAAGTCTATTTTGTCACATATTAAAATTGCAACTTTTGTTTGTTTCTTAGTGCCATTTGCTTGGAATATTTTTTCCATCCTTTCACCCTAAGGTAGTGCTTATCCTTGAAGGTGAGATGAGTTTCTTGCAGACAAAAAAAGATGAATTTTGTTATTAATCCATTCCACTAACCTGTGTCTTTTGACTGGGGAGTCTGACCTTTAACATTTACAGTTTTTGTTGAAAGATGTGTATTACTACCATTTTAATTTGTGTTCTTGGTCCCATTTTGTGTTTCCATAGTTATACTGTCATTTGTTTAGTTTCTGTAACCTCCTGGGTAGTCATTCATGTCTTAAAGCCCTGAGGTTGGTTTTTTTTTTTTTTTTTGGTCATTTCATTCAGTCATATATTTTTAATTTTTGAGCTTCAGCTAAGAGTTTATTCCTATCCACTCTGAGTACTTTGAGTTGTCTGTGTGTTCTTTCTTTGATCATGTTTATGACTGTTTTTTAAAATTCTGTGTCCTGAGGGTCTTCTAAGCGGTTCTTGTTGTAGTACACTTCTGGCGGATTTTGTTGGGGGCATATTATCTTTGTTTTTTGTATTACTTGTGTTTTTGCATTGTGCTTTGGGCTACGTATTTTTTTTTTGTTATGTGTCTGATGTGAAATTTGAGTCTGCTTTTGTTTAATCAAAGTTTGGGTCTCTTGTTGATGTCACTTGGTTGCCTTTTGCCTAGGTAGGAATACTTGGTGTGTGCTTCAGGGTCTCAGTTTTGATTTAAATTTTTTTTGATTTAATTATTTTTATTTTATGTGTATGAGAGTTATGCCTGCATGTGTATAAGTGCACCCATGTCATGCAGTTCCTGTGGAGGACAGAAGAGGGTGTTGGATCCCCTGGAACTGGAGTTATGGATGGTTGTTAGCCACCATGTAGGAGCTGGGATTTGAATCTGGGTCTTCTGCAAGAATAGCCAGTGCTCTTTACCTCTGAGCTATCTCTCCAGTCCCAACTTTTGATGTTTTTATTGGTGGGACAAGATTAATGAAGTGCTCTCTGCTGGGGCAAAGGGAATTCAAGGCTGTGGGGGTCCAGTGTCTGGGTTCTGACAGGCTAGTGCAGAAGTCTCAGGCAGGAAGAAAGGGGGTATGGTTCATAGGGCTAAGGCTGGGGTCGGGGCAGCTAGTCTGAATGTAGGAGATCAGGTCCAGTGGGGTCTGGGTTAGGAGGCTAGTCCAGAGATCCCTGGCAGGAAGAGCAGGAGCAGGCCTAGACATGCCTTGGCTGGAAGGGGCACAGTGTAGAGAGAGATGATGGAGCAGGTCAAGGTGCTGGGGAGTCAAGTCGAAGTGGTCAGGGTCTGACTTACCAGGGTAGGACATAGGTCTCTGGAAGGCAGATCAGGATGGGGGCCTATGGCAAGGTAGGGCTGAGGACAGTGTGAGGCGGGTCTAACTTACTAGGCTGGAGAGTGATGCTAACTTGGGTGCAGGGATCAGGACGCAGAGCTGATTAATCTTCTGACTGAGACAGGCTTTCTTTTGTGGGTGTGAGTTTATTTTATGAATAGCAACCTGTGCAGAAAAGTGTCAGACAAATGCTCCTTCACTAGGAGTCCCTTTCAGATGGTGTCTCTCCAGAACTGAGGAACATGCTTGTTTCTGTCACGTGCCTAAGTCATGAACTACCCCAGGGATTTCTTCTGCCTGTGGCCTGATGTCCTTCTTTAGGGTTTCACAGACTTTATGAGACTTTGTGGGTTGGGTTGACTTCAGCTGGGGAAGAATTCCCTGAGCTCCTGGTGTCTCTAATGTTTTACACCATCCCATGCTTGGAAATTTTCTCTGCCCCTTTGGGATGTGATACATTAACACAACTATCTGTTCAGGAGTGTCTGTATATCACTTTATACCTCATGTGATAGGACTATGACTCTGATCACAGGATTTCTCTGTGCTCTCCTCTGAGGGTCAGAGCAGCATGGTACCAGGTTAGGAGGGTCAGTGACTGAGGTGGAGATTGGAAGGTACCAGATCTTAGTCTGCTCACTAGAAATGTTGGGTCAGTAAAATTCTGACAGTGTATGGAACTGTAGAAATGGCTCATTTCTTAAAACCTGGTCCTATGATTTCTGTCAGTGGGCTGCCTCCGCCACTGTCTTCACACAGGAGGACAAGCTCTGGCTGCTGGCTCCAGCTTTAAAAAGCCTGCAGTGATGAACTCTCATCGACCGCCTGCCTGGGCTTCCATCTTTATACCATGATGGTTGTGGGTGGATTTTCCTTTCCTGGTAGAAATGACTAAAGGTCAGAATTAGCTAGCAGAAAGAGATCGCTTTGCAGGAGCAGAAGTAACCACGAGCCAAGCTTTTCCAAACAACTCCTGCCTGCATTTAATACCAATGCAAGCATTAGGCCTTAGGGAAGATGAAGGGATTGTTCTATTTTGCTTTCTGTTGCTGTGATAAAGCACTCTTACCAAAACCAACTTGGGAAGGAAATTGTTTATTTCATCTTACAGATTACAGTACATCATGGAAGGAAGTCAGGGCAGGATCTCAAGGCAGGAACTTGGAGGAAGGAATCGAAGCACAGACCACGGAAGAATGATGGTTACTGGCTTGCTCAGCTACCTTTCTTACACAGTGCGGGCCCACCAACACAGGGGTCTTGTCACCCACAAGGGGTTGCATCTTTCTACCTCAACAAGCAATTAAGAAAATGCCCCCACAGACATACCTGTAGGCCAATATGGTTTAGGAAATTTCTCAGTTGAAATTTCCTCTTCTGAGATGTGTCAATTTGAAAACAAGCTTATTAAGCTACTAACGAATGGGTAGAAAAAAGGCAATTGTCCTTACTTACGTTGGAAAGACAGTTACTATATTAGGGGCTTTCCTTTAGTTTAGCATCACCCAGAGAGGGATTCCATTGTGGGTGTCCTCAGAATCCTGGATGCTCAACTATTATTCATACAAGACATATACCATACCAAAGATGATTTTTTTCTGATATTTGTTTTCCTATATTAGTTCTAAAGATGGTTTAGAAGATTAACTAGTAACATGTTCTAACACCAGCAGAAGACAATGACACAGCAGTGTTAGGAAACGGGTTAACAAGGTGTCGCTGCGTTCATCGGACATGAGTTGCTCCTTGCAGACAGTTGTGACAGGCTGGCAGGGGTCCCCCATCTGAACCCACAGTTAGACCTGACCATCAAGGTGCAGTGGCTCAGCTGCAGGGCCTCCCCATGGGACATCGTTCTGAATCTGTATTGCTTCATGAGGCACTGCAGGTCTGTGGAGCACAGGGTGAGTTCCTCCCTCCTGCACAATTGGTCAGTCTTTGCTCTTTCCTAGGAGACAACAACTCTGGATTAGACCAGATATCTTCTCATTGAGATCTGTGCAGTTGGAGAGAAACTCATTAAATTCTAGCAGGAGGGTACATTCACTGTTTAACCACAGAGGTGACAGTGAAAGCTGTCATTGTTTTCTGACAGCAGGCCTGCCTTATAAACAACTTTCATAATTTTACAGCTGAAACCGTTTCTGTTAGCATCCAGAACACATATTTCCCTGGAATGCCCTTCCCCTCTCCTGTGACTCCAGAGGTCACAGTGCTGCGAGACATGGATTCCAGCAGCTGCTCATGAATTTCATGACATGGTTTGTGTTCACAAGGGAAGACTCAGTCACCTTCAGGTTCCCCTGCTCCCAGTTCTACATGCAGATATCAACCTGAGTCTCAAATCCTCTTCTGGCCAGAGAATCTCAGTGATGCTCTGCCCTGAGTCTAGGAGATATCACTCTCCAGGGTGCCTGAGCATCCTCGGGATCTGATCCTGGGTCCACAGCACAGTGACTTCTGCCCTATGTGATGCTCTGCATCTTGTCAGGTAACGTGCACCCTCTATTTGGAAGTAGACGTCACAGCAAGAGAACAGAATTGTTTCTATTTGGAGACTTTAAAGATTAGCTCACGCCCTCCCTGTAGAGAGGAGCTGTTCTGTGATATGAAGAGACAACACACGGCCGCCCTGCCGGTCACATCCTGGGCTTCTGCTCTCAGAGGTCTTGTGCCTTGAGCGCCCCTGCTGGCTGTGAGCACACTTAAAGAACTTTTTGTTGGAGCTCATGGTATCATTATGTCACTGTGTCCTGCTGAACAGTAATAGGTGCCTGTGTCTTCCACTTTCAGACTGTTCATTTGCAGGGACAAAGTGTTCTTGGAATTGTCTCTGGAGATGGTGAATCGGCCCTTCACGGAGTCTACATAATGTTTCTGACTTCCATCATACCATATAACTGCCACCCACTCCAGCCCCTTCCCTGGAGCCTGGCGGACCCAGTTAATGCCATAGTTACTGAAGGTGAATCCAGAGGCTGCACAGGAGAGGGTCAGGGATCCTCCAGGCTGTACCAAGCCTCCCCCAGACTCCACCAGCTGCACCTCACACTGGACACCTGCAAACAGAGAATCCTGATCAGGAACCTGACACATTGTCTCTCTCACTCATGTCCACGCACACACTTTTCTCTAGAAATTACCTTTTAAAAGCACAACAAGGAAAAGCCAGCTCAGCTCCAGCTCCATGGTGAGTCTGTTCAGTGCTGGTCACTGAATGGGAACACAGGGAATGCAGGGCTGGGCTCCTCTGCTGAGCTGCAGGGTCAGGGCTGGGCTGGTTTTCATGAGCAGAGGGGGGCCCTATTTGCATGTCCTCCTGATACATAACAAGATGGGGCTGGACTCCTCAAAGAAGACAGTTTTTGTAGTAGATGTCAGAGATGTCAGGGTACTGATGACAGTCATAGACTGTGAGGCAGTATGTGTAACCTGCAGGTTGCTGGGCTCATCCTGTGTCAACTGCAGCTGTACAGGCTGATCCTGCCATGGATAACACAACAGTGAATACTTAACCACCTGCATGTTGGGGATCAGAATCAGTTCTTTTAAATTTTATTTATTAACTATTATTTTTTAATGTATATTGCTGCATATGTGTAAGTGCACCCATGTCTTACAATACCTACGGAGGTCAGAAGTGAGTGTCAGATCCCTTGGAACTGGAGTTACAGGTGATTTTTACCTGCGATGTGGGTGCTGGAACTGAACCCAGGTATTCTGTAGGCACAGCTAGTGCTCTTACCTGCTGAGCCAGCTTTCTAGCCCCCAAAGTCAAGTCAGCCTTGGTCTCAAGCAACTTTACTAGTAGAGCCATATTAGCCTGCTAATGTTATAACTACAGTTATTATGGGGATCTGTGGGTTGCTAAGTTATTGGGTGTTTTATCATAATTTATAATAATTCTCAATTTTCAAATTTTCTATTTGATGATAACAGACTAATTAAAGTATGTAAGCCTTTCCAACAACTGAATAGTAAACAGTAATGATCTGATTTAAACCAGATGAAAGAGCGTAACAGATACTTATTAGGGAAGAGATGTGAATCATCAACAGCACAACACAAATGTCAACATCTCCCCCACAAGAGAGGTGGAAATTAAAGGGAACTGAGGCAGGGGCGACGCTCCTCATTAGAATAACAGACGTTACAGAAGATGGAGCATTAAAATGCAGCTCTTGAGAAAACTTCCTGGCCCACAGCTCTCAGCCGGGAGAGCGGTGTTGGGAGAGTGAGGCAGAGCGAGGTCAAGTGAGCAAGTGACAGAGATCGATGGAGACAGACGGCAAGCTCTGCCCCCCACGGGTGCCAGGAGACAGACAGTGTACACAGGAACAGTGTGCACTGCACATGGGACCTATAAACGACGGTGCACTCCACTGGGTCTAGAGGACGCTGGGGTCCTTCCTCTCTCCAGCTCTGTCCACTTTCCACCCTGAAGTGCTTTCTTTATTTAAGAACTTCCTATGTTTCTGTTTGTGTCTACGTGTCCCTGTCCAATTCCTTGATCCAGGACACAAGAACCTGGAAATCCCAGCGGATGTTCACCAGACATTGACATCTGCCTGTAACAGTAACACCATATTACCCATCATATGGAGCAGTCAAGTGAAATTCATCAGACATATACGTAAGATGTTGGCCTAAGAAAATACTAGAAACCATACAGGGAGAAACCTCAAGGCAGCATATGCAAAGAGTATTTCATAGGCACACATAAGAAGAGGCAGAAAACTAGGAGGGAACAGATGTTATTACAATAAAGCAAAAGGTTTCTCTGCAGTCACTCAAAGGGAGGTCTTTCACGTCCGACATCGTGTTCCTTCCATACAGCCCCCAGGTACACATATGCACTAATGTTCGGACACCGTGTGTGCACTTCTCAGCGGGTATCAGAGGCAGTACATTTCCCTCTGACTTCCCTAGCCCCCCAAGATGCAGCCATCTCTACTCTCTCTCCTCGCATCAGACACAGAGAACCCCCATTATCCCCACCCTCCCCCCAATAACACATGGCATCCCCCTCTCCTGATTTCCCTCCTTCCCTGGTTCCTCTCCCATGTCCCTCCCTCCTCCACCCCCAGCTCCCACTTTCCCCACCTCCCCCTGGTAACGTGTTTCCTACTATGCCCCCCTCTTTTGGATTCTTTCTTCTTTACCTCGGAGTTTCCTTTCCATTTTCCTGGCTCCTGCTGCAACATCGGGAGATATACTCACACATAAGGGATTGGTGTTATGATTCGCAAGTGAGGGAAGACATATATCCCTTGATTTTCTGAATTTGTGTTACTTCACTTAGTAGAACAGTCACTATTTCTATTTATTTGCCTTCAAGTTTCATCTTTTCTTACTGTGACTAGAACTCCACTGTATAAAAGTACCACATTTTCATTATGCATTCCTCACCCGGGGGACACTTAGGTTGTTTCGATTTCACAGCTATTGTGAAGAGAACAGCAGCAAACATGGATGTACTGGTATCTCCACAGTAGGATGAATCCTTTGGGTATCTGCCAAGGAGCGGTATATGCAGATCATATCACAGATTCATTTTTAGTTTTTTAAGAGTTCTCCACACTGCTTTCCATAGTGGCTGCATGAATTTGCACTCCCACCAGCGGTGAATGAACGTCCCCTTTCTCCACATCCTCGCCAGCATTTACTCTTTTGTTTTCTTGCTCTTATCCAGTCTGACTTGGGTAGGAGGGAATTGTAAAGTGGTTTTTATCTGCATTTCTTGAATTACTAAGGATGTTGAGCACTTTTTAATGTGCTTCTTGGCCATTTTTATTTCTTTGTTTGAGAACTGTTCAGGTCCACAGCCCATCTTTTTATTGTGTCATTTATTTTCTTGTTTCTTTTTTTCTTTTTTTAGTTTTTTGTATATTCTGAATATTAACCCTCTGTCAGTTGTGTAGATGGCAAAAATTTCCTCCCACTTAGTGGGCTTCCCTTCACTTCCTTGGTCGTTTCTTTTGCTGTTATAGAAGCTTTGTAGTTTAATGAGGTCCCACTTGTTGATTGTTGACTTTAATTCCTGAGCAACTGGTGTCCGATTTAGAAAGTCCTTTCCTACACCTATATCTTGTAGGTTACTGCCAATGTTTTCTTCTAACAGTTTCAGAGTTTTGAGTTGGGGTTGACTTTTGTGCAAGGTGAAAGATAAGGATCTAGTTTCATTCTTCTGAAGGTGGAGATCCAGTTTTGCCAGCACGTTTTGTCGAAGATGTCTTTCCTCCATTGTGTGTTCTCGGCACCTTTGTCAAATATCAGGGGGCTAAAATTGTGTGTGCTCAGGTTTGGGTCTTCAATGATGTTCCACTGATCGATCTATAGATCACATTTTGTGTCGGGACCTTGTCATTTTTATGACCACAGCTCTTTCAAATATGGTGGGCTCCACAAGCAAGGGTCAATTCAAGTAGCACTGGGAGCCCAGCAGAGCATCTGGAGGGGAGAGGCAGGAGTTGCCCACTGTTGCAGGACAGAAGGACCGTGCCTGTCTTAGGGCCCACCTTCCTAGTGCAACAGCCACTGTCCGTAAACACATGTCAAGCTAGGACTGTGGCCTCCAAACCACCTCTGCACAAGTTGATAGGCAGTAGGTCAGGGAGGGATAGTCACCACAGCTGTGATCCAGCCCCAGTGCTGAAGGTGGCTTCCAGGCAGAGTGTTACATCGTGTGCTAATTCAACCAGAGTGGCTCACAGATGGCTTCTTTAATGGATAAACCCTTTTCCTATTTTCATGAAAAAGGAGTTGAGGATACATTCCGGTTCATACAGGAGTCTCATTTTATTTATCACTAATATCTCTTTCCATCACCTTGTCTAGGAGCAGACCCAGCACTACCCTGTAGTCTGAGGCTGAGCCAGGCTGAACCCAGCCATGAGAAGCAGATTCCTAATGGCAGACAGAGATGGTGTGCAGTCCAGGCTGGTGTGAGGAAAGGAGGAGCAGGTTCTCTTTCCTTATTCAGCACCACTGCAGTGAGAACTGCACACACAGTCACCAGATAGGCACCATTTGGAGAAAACAATTAAAACACCTTTACAGCAAGATGGAATGAGGCATTAGCACTGAGAAGCACCTGATAAAATAAGCAGAAGGAATAAAAGAATACTGCATCTTTGAGGAAATACGACACTCTAAAAATCTGTGGTCACTCATCAGTATAAGTGGTACCTAGTTCCACATCATTACAAACTCTGAACTACGGGTAGTAAAATGTCAATGCAAGTCATGGGTTTTCTCTTGGTAACTTATGATCACACACACACACACACACACACATACCACCACACATACACACACATCACACACACACACGCACACACCACACACACACACCACACCACACCACACACACACACCACACCACACACACACACCACACCACACCACACACACATACCACACCACACACACACACACACCACACCACACACACACACCACACACACACACACCACACCACACACACACACATACACCACACCACACACACACACACCACACACCACACCACACACACGCACACCACACACACACACACACCACACCACACACACACACACCACACCACATACACGCACACACACACACACGACACATACTCATATATTTGAAGTTAACTGGATTCACGACTTCCTTAGAATCTTGTTTGCCAGAACCCCAATAGAAGTCACTCTCTCACATACTCAACCTCTTTGTCCTACAATACTTGGAACATATTAAGAAATTGACTTTCAGTCTCTCGGTGTCCAGAACAGGTCTCACCTGCAGGGTTACTGAGCTCAACCTGTTTTCCCTGCAGCCACATAGGCTGATCCTCACTGGGACCCTGGGTGACAAGATAGTGGATCCCTTGATTTTTTAAATTCACACACTGTAGTCATTCATCAGTATCAGTGGTTGTTTGTTTGACATTACAAACTGAATTATGATGTAGCAAATTATCACTCAAAGTCACACATTTGCTCTTGCTTGCACTAACAGAGTGCTTATTTGTCCTGATATAAAAAAATCCAGTACTCTAGTCAGTTTGGCCTCCAAAGCTACATCACATCAGTCAGTGTCACTGTAATTGTTTCCAGAGAATCCTCAGGCTCCCTTTTCACAGGTGCCTCAAACGAATTATCCATTAACACTGTCAAAACACCTCTCTGAAGGGTGCTTCTTGTAGGGCACTTCTCTATCTCAAGTAAGGTATACTCAGCCTTTTACTGTGAGCAGTGAGTGAGAGCTCTGT